TTGAACCCGGGTCCTGCGGAGTGGAAGCGCGCACTGCTTACCACTACACTACAGCGGCTTTTTATATACAGTGACGCAAATAAGTGTTTATGTCTTGATTTTTTTTAATATTCACAATGTTTTTCAAGTTATTTTTTTTTTTCTATAAAAATATTGTCCAAGTTTAACCAAAATCAAAGTCTCGAAATTTATACAAAATTTAGGAAAATTCAGCAAATTTTCATCAAAATTTCGAACTTATTAATGTGAACTTTTTTTGAGTATGCACTTTTATAGCCCATTCAATTTTAGTCTAATGATGTGCAATTTTCAACCGGCTGAAAAATTCCCCTGGAGTTTTGAAACTTTTTTTGGTAACTGCTTTTGCGTTTTTTTTTTTATATAACAAGTGCATTTTACAAAAAATGGGCGTGCATTTTTTTTAAATTTTGTTGCGAAAAAGTGCAAAAACCCGTAAGAAAGAAACACCAAAAGAGAAAGGGGCAATCAAATGGCGACATTTTTTGGTAGACCACAAGTCTAATGAAGTACAAGTTTCAACCAGTTAAAAAATCTCCTTGATTTTTGAGAATTTTTTTTGGTGACGGCTTTTGCGGTTCTTGTTTATATAACGCGGCAGTTAGCAGTAAAAAATAACGTATTGGCACAGCAGAAATGTAAAACTTTCTCACCAAGGTAGAAAGTGTTTTTTTCACTATAGAAATTTTCTAATGATTGACACAGGCACTTTCACTGAAAAAAGGGCAAAGATGTAGGATTAGATTGGAAACAGCGGAAAGTATCGATACGAGTACTCAAATTAGAATACTTTAAAGAAGAATCGATACCAGTACTCATATTTGCAAAAAAGTATCTATCATACTTGTACTTCCAAGTGTATTTAAGGGAAACGCGAAAGTAAACAAAACATCAGATTGTTTTGCTTTTATGACCTCCTCCTAATTGTAATTTGAATATACACTGATTTTAACAGTTGAAATCTGATTTAACAAGCATTTCTAAGGAATTTTTGAAATAAACTTGCAACAAGCGTAAATTAAATGTTTTTACCAAAAAGCAAATAATAATTTATATAAATCTCTTTAATAAACATTTTTTTCAAGCTCAATAAAATTGTTGAAGCTCAAGCTCAATAAAATTGTTGAATATAATTCTTATAAATAAAAAAATGTTTTTAAAACAAGCTTTATAAATATGAACGAAATCGGCGCATAAATAAATCGACTCGTGCGCCACCTAAAGGCAAGATTTTTAGTGGAGTTATTCCTTTTCATGTAGTTAACATACGTTCTAAATATGAGCCAAATCGGATTATAAATACCACCCCAATATATGTACCTTGCAAGGACAGCCACATCTGGTTTCATTTGCGTACGCAAAGCATAATTTAGGAGGCGCTGAGATTTTTAATTTAAATTAAATTTTTTTAATGTAAATTTTAATAGAAATGTTAAAATATAGCTATTAAAAATTTATAACAATTTACCTTATAAATTTTTCTGTTTTTAACCGACTACAAAATAAGGAGGAGTTTATTAATTCATCTGAATATTTTTTTTTATGTATGTTACCGCATAACTTTGGACCACATTAAGCGATTTGATAATTGATGTAATGTGGAGCGATTCTCCGTCCAGAACGAAAAATGACACTGAAGATGGAACAACGCCGAAACCGGTTTGTCTCCAAACCAAATTTGAGAAGGGATGACGGAAAATCGTTCCACTTACATCACACTCCTACCCTGTCGGAAACACCAACAACGAAAATGAGATTTGATAATTCTTTTTCTGGTGCTTTGGTTTAGATCCGATCATTGGTTCATGAAGAAATCAAAGGTACTTCTAAAATTTTATATGAAAATTGAAGTTGATTGTGTTTTTTAACCGACTTCCAAAAAAAGGAGGAGGTCATTAGTTCATCGGAATATTTTTTTTTTATGTATGTTCGTTCTATTTTTGTTTTGCACTGATTGTCAATGTGCATATCATTTCTTAAGGGCTATTCGCGATTCGGTGCATAAGAGCTGACAAATTTATGCAATTGCAGAAATATGCCATGGATTGATTGTAAGCGACCTTTATTAAACTGTCATGGTAAAACTTTTTTAATCAACTGACAGAAATGTCCGCCAGAGTTGCAATGCATAGCATTTTTATGCTATGGATTTTCGGTATTGCAAATTTGTCAAGCCATGACAAATGCAAATGCGTGTATTTTGTATGTGTATTGCAAATAATTTGCAATACAAATTTGCAATGCAATGATGCTAGGTCATTTGCACCGGATCGCGAATAGCCCTTTAGTGTAGTTTTTGTTTTTGGTCTGCCGCTTCCACCTTGTACAAATTCGCCTTGCTAATGCATTTAAATGCAATTTATTGCCTGTTGGTGTTGGTTGACGGACAGAACGAAAAATGAATCTGAAGATGGCACAACGCCGAAACCGGTTTGTCTGCAAACCAAACTTGCCAAGGGATCACGGAAATTCGTTCCAAAATAAATCAGCAATTTATTGCATTATCTTGTTTGGATGGGCAGCATTTACATAAAATTTCCTACTTCACATGCCAATTACTCACTTCCTTCGCGAGTTAGTAATTGCTGCGCTTCATTTTCCTTTCTAAAGCTGAAATTAGTCAAGAACGTAAACCTACCGGTACGTAAACCCGAGTCAGCTGACACGATCTGTCTTACCAAAGCGCCACGTAAATGAAAACTCAACACCGCAGAATTTGTCTGTAGTTGTAGCCCGTAGCGCAGAAATCTGCGGAATTTAGATTTTTCCGTGTCAGCTGATTTCTCCTTCTTTAGATGGTTGCCACTTCGTCAGTTTTGCAGATGGCAAAAAAGTTATAAGTTCCTATTCGAAATATGTTTAAAATATTTGAAATTTACTATTAAATAAGGTTTTTGTTGAAAACTAAGTAGTTTATAGTTTTATTATAGCACGAAAAATTGTGGTTGAAAGGGTAAGTTTATGAAAAGGCATTTAAGAGTGGCAACACTGTAGTAAGCAACACTGAGGGCTCCAGTAATCGACAAAATT